AGCAGAAAAATATTGATAATGAAAAATAGAATACAAATTGCATGGGATCAAACACCTTATTCTCCTGCATTCCTCATACCCATAAAACTTTGAGAAATATACAACTACGTAAGTGTGCATAAGTAAGTGTACCAACCCCTGGAAAACTGCCAGGAACACTAACAGCTTCACCTCCAATTCAGGAACACAGAAAATATACGTTTACTAATACTAAAGTGGCATGTGTTTAAAACTAAACCTGTATTTAAATGCTAGCTAAAAATATTTTAAATCAGCATGGGCTCAGTTGTTCTCTTACGTAGGACGCAGAACAGTGCGTACTTAACTGCCTGCCTGGACGAGGACTCCCGGGATAAGTCACTCAGCCTTCCACCCAGCCACTCACGTTATGGCCGGCAGGCATCACATGGCCGAGCTACCAGAAGGCACGTATGTACAACAGTGGACAACAAAAAGCAATGTGAATAGAGACTGGCACAAAGGGGAATACAAAGCACTGGAGAAAGACATCAGGCTGCACAAAAGGAACCTCAGCACAGCAAGATTCAGTGGGTAAACTACTCTGACTTCTATAAAGGACTCAACTCCTATGGGGTCACAGACATGTAACTCCCCTCCGGCAGAAGGCAAAAAGTTCTCTTGCAACAAACTCACACCTAGATTCCCCTGGTCTTGGCAGCCTGTACTGCAGCTGTCAGACAACCAGTGGTTCCCCCAAAGCTCTTTCTCCTCTCCCTCATCTCCTTCTGCTCAGAGTAAGGCGTGAAAGATGGAGAAGAGCTCAGACTTATAATACAAATCCAGTTATGAAAGTTCACCTTGGATAGGCTGCCATATGTATCATAGTGGTTTGTAAAAGCTCTGACCTAAAGAAAAAAAAGCATGCAAACCAGACAAATTAAATTTAATTTTATTATGGAAATGAAAGTAATAACAGAAGTGACAGCAGGGTGGATGATAAGCTCACTTAGCAGGGGAATCAAATGAAGTGATGACATGTCATTATGACCTCAGGGGTTAAAGATGCAATTTTCCATCTGGCTGCATCTGGCTTTTCAACATAAATGTTGACACCACCTGCCGAGATTTACTACAAGCTGCCTCCGCAGGTCTTTGTCTAGCTTTTGTTACCCAGGTTAACACATACTTTTCCCTCTTTTCTGATCAGTTTTGCTGAGCAACATGCTCCCTTTCTTCAAAACCCAATGAACAGTTAAAATGATTCTACGTGCCACTTTATATAATAGATCACATTATTAATAGTAACTTCACAAGCAGCTCAAAGAGAGATACATGAGAAACCTACAAAGCAGGTAAAACAAGCCTTAAGATTGCAAACAGGAGGACGAAACTTTAGCTACGCTTGCTAATATCTTGCATTGTCTAAGACATCTAGGAATCTACTTTTCTGTTAATAACAGGTACCCGAATGAAATTGTTTATGTAAAAAAAATCCTCCGAATTAAAGAACTAGATTGTACACACCATATCCAATTGACTATTAGCCACCTGCATGTGTTTTATTCAGCAGTTTGTTTCCAATTCCAGATACATTGTGCTTAAAATAAATCATCTTTTGCCAGCCTAGTGACATATTCACTTATTAATCTAATTTAGCCACAGCCAAACTACGATCTCAAACCAAATTTGTAATCAGCTATTGACAAACTGTTGGCTGTCAAGTTTTTGTTTCCACTTTGAATATTTAAAAGCTACTACCAGTGGTGTTCCTCTCCTGGAGGCTTGATCTGGAATAGGACTGTATGCTTACTACCACTTGATATATCCGTTACATCTTTGCCTGTGCCAAACCTTTTTTTCCTAAACCTACAGCTCCCAGACTTTTCTCTGCCAGTACAGGTGAGCTGAAAAGCTTGCTTCCAGCTGTTTTTAAAGTGCCCAGATTCTTCACTCAAAAGAACCTACAGTCTGTTTTAACTGTTTAAACAAAGAGGCCCCAACCTCCACTAGGGCTCGGTTACATACAGGGAAAGGGGAAGAAAAGAAAAACCCTCCACAGATTTTGAGAGCACCCTGGGACTACAGCTATGAAAAGACAGGAGGAAAACTGAGACAAAGAAAGTTAATGAAGCTTGCATGGAGCAAAGAATAGCTAAGAAACGAAACAGAGAAAGTATCCAGACTGATCGGACACGCAAATAACTTCATTGAAAGACCACCACAAAAATACCTATAAATACCTTCCTCTCCCAAAACTCCTTCACCACAAAGGCAATTACCAGAGGGATGCCATAACCTTCTTCCCCTGGAATGGAAGATGTACCACCGCCCTCTCCAGAGGCCTTACTCACCTTGGGGAGCTGGGAACCCTTGTTCTTAACAGACAAGTCGCCCCCCCATTTCTACATCTGTTAAGGTATTTTCTGAATGACAAGTGAACTTGATTGTTCCCTTCAACATAAGGGAAAACCCAAAGTGTTCCTGTTTACTTCGCACATGCTTAACTTCAAGCACATGCTAAACTGAACAGGAATGACTTAAGCATATGCTTAAATGCTTTCCTGATTCAGACCCTAAAAATAGGAATGGTTTCTGCAGCTCCTCTTTCTCTTGTTCTCCTAATGACAGACAACTATTGTGCCATGTCATTATGACAGTAAGATAGCTTAATTGCCCTCTTTCCAGAAGCTGTCAGTTCTGCTTAACTGGTACATAATGTATGCGTCTGGGAGTAAATGTGTTAATGTATCAGTCACTTATATCTACCATACATTTTCCTCTGCTGTATTTAAAGAAAGCCTTGGTTTTTATGACTGACTTGCTCAACATTACATTCATTGATATGGACAGCAGTGATATTACTGTCTTATGACTCATTTCTTCGTGAAAAATGCACGAAGTAACTTTTTCCTTCTTCATTTACTGCACTTTTTCAACTCAACTGCAACCTGAACATGGGTTTCCTCATACTTGTATTTAAGGTGTGGCCAAAAAAGGCCTCCTCAAAGATGACAGTGTAAGATGAACTGGCTGTTCCTGTAACTAATCAGGACTGATGAATCAAAGTGTTTGGAAACACCTGGAGTTGCTTTAGAATATTTTGTGCATTGTTTCCCTGTAGCGACACAGTCATTGAAAGCATACAAAGAGTAAGAATCAGCAATTTCTACAACATGTAATAAGCAGCTATGAACTGCAGGCCTTTAATTCCCTAAGAAGTACTGGTAACGTTACACCTAAATATACAGCCTATGCGAGCTGGCTCAATTCTCCCGCATATTCTCCTTCCTGATCACGATTATTTCCAAGTTCCCTCTATAGCCCCTCACTGCTTCTTGTGCCTTGGGCACTTAAGAAGTTCTTTTTTCTCCCACAGTCTCTCATTAAATTGTGAACTGGAATGCAAAGACTATTTTTAACCATTGTTTTACGAGTCTGTATGTTGCTATATTAACAAACATGACAATGGCATTTTTTGTGTTTGTATTAGTAAGGCCTTTCTTCTCAGAGAAATGTTACTCAACTCATACACGTACTTTTGTGGGCCTTCAGAGGAGGCTGTGAAGACATAAAAAGTGAGGGAGAAAAACAAAAGCTGTATGGAAAATAGAGTAAATCTGACAAGAAGAATATAAAGCTTAGTAAGATTTGAACACGCAGCTTGCTTTGTTCATTTAATCCATTTCTCACTGTTTTCCTACCAATACTTCTGTTTTTAAACCATTAAAGCATGCTGATACTTCTAACCAGTCTGACTGCAAAGTTCCCAAGACTCTGGAAATAAGTAAAGCCATTCTGACTCCACGGGAAGAACAGAGGTGAGAGACGGCAGTGGTGAGGTGTAGGGACTTTGCCTGGAAGTGGCAGAGTCACCGTTTCCTCTCAAGTGAAGTGGAAGCCAAAGCATCTTGCCAGGGAGTGTAAGCTGGCAAGCAACTACAGGGGCAAGAATACACCGAGCACAGAGATTTGTGACACTTACTCTGGTGTTAATAATCAGTGGGTACAACTGGTATAGTCCATAAATCGACTGTTTCATACAGATGTAAATTGTTTGCATGTGCATCTGTCATGGTTTAACCCTGGCTGGCAACTAAGCACCACATAGCCACTCGCTCACCCACCCCCCGGTGGGATGGGGGAGAGAATCGGAAAAAGAAGAAAGTAAAAACCGTGGGTTGAGATAAAGACAGTTTAATAGACAGCAGAGGAAGAGAAAATAATAATAATAATGATAAAAGAATATACAAAACAAGTGATGCATGATGCAATTGCTCACCACCCACCAAACAATACCCAGCCAGTCCCCAAGCAGCGGTCACAGCCCCCCGGCCAACCCCCCCCAGTTTCTATACCGAGCATGACGCCATATGGTATGGAACAGCCCTTTGGCCAGTTTGGGGGCGCTGGCCTGGCTGTGCCCCCTCCCAGCTTCTTGTGCACCTGGCAGAGCATGGGAAGCTGAAAAGTCCTTGACTAGCATAAGCACTGCTTAGCCAGAACTCAAACATCAGTGTGTTATCAGCATTGTTGTCGTCCTAAATCCAAAACACAGCACTGTGCCAGCTACTAGGAAGAAAACCAACTATCCCAGCCAAAACCAGAACAGTGTCTGACCAGAATGGGAAGTTGTCAATTCTATTGGAAGTTTTAAATTCAATCCTGAAATAGAAATTATTTTCAACCTTTTTCCTAATGTTACATAAGTCCTATATAAACATTTCTGTTCCTAAGAAAGATCACAATAGAACGAAAATTTCCCCAAATCTGTTTTTCCCCCACAAAACCATTAAGACATTAATGAAAATGCACATTTTTAAGATGCAGTTCCTCCCTCCCTTCTCCAATGATGTCACTACATAAAAAAAAGCACTGAATGTCTTCACTTATGTAGCTGGATAGCCAAGGTTACTAAATGAAAAAGACTGATCATACCTCTGTTTACAGGAGCTAGCATTTCTTTTGATTTTACTAATATCTGTTCATAGATGAAGTATGATAAAAACATTTCCCACATCAGTAACTACTTAAGAACTTACTTGGTTTTTTGAATCCAGATGCAATAGTCTGTAATGAAGAGATCATTAAGGATGTAGGCAGGGTCATTCTCCCTAAAAGTCTTGTGAATGTCCAGCAGACACTTCAAAACGGCAGCTTTTCCTGGAAATAGATTTTTATTTTTGTAATTTACTAGAAATCATAATAGATAATCTTTACCATCTTCTCACCTTTGAGGCTTTAGTAGCTGTACTATCTACAACCATCTTGTAACTTTGTTGACTCACAGTCTCAGAACAGCAGTAAGATGACTATGCCCCTCAGTATCCACATCTATGTTGATGTGGAGCCTCAGAATTCAGTAGAAATCCCTCTGCAAGGCTAAAGCCTCAAGGCATAGTCATGCGTGTAATTCTCTACAGCTGAAGCAGCCCCCTCCCCCAGCTCTTCCACTTCTGAGTTGTGCTCGCTCAATCTTTAACACAGTCATCCAGTGAACCATATTGGGGTGGGGTGGGGTGGGGTGGGGGGGAAATCAAGCTGAAAAGTAACTTGCAAATAACAAAAAGTTATGCCCCATCATTTTTCTGAAGAAAGAGAAAACCATTTCCCTGTAGGCCTACACAAATACCTGTTCTGGAAAATGGTAAAGTTGGAAACACACAGCTCACAGCAGGGTCAAGCACGCGAGAGCCACAGCAATTGTGTAAGCTGGTGTAAGCGATACCATCGCCTAACTTCTAACCATTGCCTTAATTTAAGCAGAACTACTTCTGTTACTTACAGAATAATTTGGCAAACTAAGCCTCCAGAAAGAAAAACTCACTTCAGGCTCAAGAAGGTACCATTTGACATACAGTTGATAAATGCAGTAAAAGATTAAAAACTTAAATGTTTTCTCATTCCACAACCAGAAATCTTTTCTGTAGTCAGTTTAATTTTCTTCATATGCAACCACTGTTTATGAAGAAGAGAACTGATTCATGTAACCTCCAATTAGCTGGAATCTCCTCCCTGAGTTTTCTGATGAAAGTTGCAAAGGTTTAAGTACTGGAACACTTAAAAAAAAAAAAAAAAAAAAAAATAATTTTTTCACTGTTTAAAGGGGGGATGGGGAAACATTCAAATGAAAGCAGCCACTACTGCAAGTGGAATCTAATAACCCTCTCCCAAGAGGCTGGCTCCTCCTAGGCTATGAAACCTGAACATGGATGAAATTACATTTTACAGATCTAAAAAAAAAAAAAAAAAAGAAAAAAAATCAGAACTATCAGAACTCCCCCTGCTGTTCAAGGACAAAATTTGTTTGTTTGTTTGTAAGTAATTCCTTGCTGAAAAAATGTAGACAGAGAATGAAAGTTGAAGGATGTGGAAGATGGCAATAAGGAGAAAGAACCCGGAGAGTAAAAAGCCATTCCAAACAGAACTGAAAAAAACCCACCGTTTGGAAGAGACCACCTGAAGAAAAGTCAGGAAAGAAAACATAAAATCCCAGATATAACCGATGAACTTTTAGATTGTATCACCATCAATGCCTGTCAAGCCAAGCTTGTCAAACTTAACTATTTTGACTAAAAAGAAGTGTGCTCTTTTAAAGAGAAATATGCGTAATTAAAATTTTGCTAATTTTTTAAGGCTCTAGCTGTCAAGCTGCCAGCCCAAACCATTTACAACATCCACGACTGTTACTCATCTGTCAAGTAACAATGTAATTTAGCAACTATAACCCTAATTCTCAATAAAAAGTAGTCTTTCTTCATAAATTACATTTTTAGATTATAGCAGCTTAACGGGCCTCTAACCAGAAAGGTTACAAATCTAGCCAGACTTAATAATATAGGGAACCCTACACACAGGCAAACACAGGGAGCATGGCAAACTACCAAACTTCTGCTTTCAGAATATGCATCTTATACATGCACCTTATAAACAAGAAGTCCTTAATACAAACCTCCATTTAACTCCTTACCACAGGAAT